AGTTGACTATGTGGGAAGAAATCAATACAACAATCAGTCGAACTTCTACAATCCGGGGAATCGGAATCACCCTGGCTTTTCTTATGGCAACCCCCAAGGAGCGTTGAACCCTCAGCATCAAAGCGGAGCGAAACCTCAGGGACCCCCAGGATTTCAGCCTAGATACCAGAATCAGGGCTACCAGAGCCAGAATCAGGGGTATCAGAATCAGGGCCAAGACTACAATCAGAGAAATCAAGGATACAGAGCCCCTCCGCCTCAGGCTAAGGAAGAGGAGTCAGAGTTAAAGTCGATGTTAGCCCAGCTAATGCACGATCAGAAAAACTCGTTTTCTAGCTTGGGTCAAGAGATGCAAGGATTCAAGGGGAGGCAAGAGAGCTTTGAGCAGAGGTTGGATGGGATAGACTCGCACATCAAGATGATGGACAACCAGATTGCTCAGCTTGCTTCCCAAACTGCGAGACCTCAAGGCCAATTTCGGGTAAGGCTGATCCTAACCCGAGAGAGCATATCAATGCCATAGGCCTGAGAAGCGGAAGACAGCTTCCGGAGACCTCCCCAGTTACCAGAGAAGAGGGAGAAGGTTCACATGGACCACAGAGGGCCGCCTTAGATAAAGGCAAGGGCCATGCTGTAGAGGGGGAAGAGGCGAGGTATATTCCGCCTCCTCCACAGGCACCCCCTCTGCCATTTCCATCTCGGGCGAGGAAGTTTAATGAAGACAGCCAATTCGCCAAATTTACAGAGATGTTGAAGAAACTAGAAGTGACCATGCTGTTTCACGAGGTAGTACTTCAAATCCCGTCCTACACCAAATTTCTGAAGGATATTCTTACGAAGAAGAGGACGGTTGAGAAGGAGACAGTGGCACTTAGCACAGAAGTGAGTGCAGCCATATTGCAGACGGAGCTCCGCAGAAGATGGCTGATCCCGGTAGCTTCTCCATCCCGTGCAGATTGGGAAATGTGGAGATTGAGAGGGCGCTTTGCGATTTGGGCGCAAGTGTCAGTTTGCTACCTCTCTCCATATTTAAGAAACTTAATGTCGGTGAGCTGAAACCGACGAGGATGGCACTGCAATTGGCCGACCGATCAGTGAAGTATCCCGCT